ATCTATCAAGTCTATTATATTATGCTGATTCTGTTGGATAGATTTCAGCTTCTTGTTGATTGATTGTTCATGAAAAAAAGCATGTTTTCTTTTTAATCGAAGTTTATCGAGCTCATTTGTAAGTTTTTGCTGTTGTACATTAACTGATGTTAATTTTTCACGACCTTCAGAGCTTTCGTTTGGTTTTATATAGGAGGGGGAGAAAGTCTCCCAAAGTCCGGGAGAAAATAGTCACAACTCAAAGAAAGCTTTCTATTTGGAAGAAAGTGCCTGATTCTCCTTGAAAGCCTAAGGAGAAAGCATTCTCTTTCTAAAAAACGGCTGCTTTTCTTTGAAATCTTGAAGTAAAATTTCTTTTTAGAAGAAAACGACTGTTTCAATTTGAAAATTAAGGAGAATGCTTTCTCTTTAGCATGTTTTTAGTATATTTTCTCTATTGAAAATACTGAAAACGCCTTAAACAGAAGCTAACGAAAATTTCCAGGGAGAAGAGTAGAACGCAAGGAAAAAATTATCTGGTAGAAATCCCCCATCTTCCATCCCCTAATCGTATGACCTGAACATACGTGCCATAACATTTACATTAATCAAAAGCATTTCTGTATAGATAGGAGAAATCCTTAAACAAGCAGTGTTGTTTTAAGTACTGATTGATTTCTTTTTTCTTTGAAACCGGCTCATTTTCTCTTTTAATTTGAACTATTTTCTCTTTGAATCTGACGTATTTTCTCTGTGAAATTGAACTATTTTCTCTCAACGATTTATTAGATTAAGTCTTTTGATGACACATCAACTAGTTCCCCTTATGATATTAAGAGAAAGTTTTTTGTATTAGAGAAAAGAACTGGTTCTCTTAGGTATAGTTCATTCGACCTACTAAAAGACAAAAAAGCCGCTAAGTGTTCGTAAAATTTTCAGGGAGAAAGCTATAATTTTAAAAAAAATTAGGGAAGTGAAATCCCCTCCTTCCCCCCGTAATCGTATGGCCTGACGACCTCCAGCAATCAAAAGTTTAGCCGCATGTACTGGCCTCCGATTACAAATTTTCGAAATTATAGAAATTCTTATATAGGATTTCGTTTTCCGAATTAGACGATAATTTTCACTAAAAAAAGGTAAAAAATTGACCAAAATTTAGCTATTTTACGTTGAACTGCATCTCAAATGTATGTGCTTTACTTGCAAGAAACAGCTATTCACATTACCTGGTTTTTTTCGTAAAAAGTGATCACCGAGGGGGGGTCGGGTAGCGCCACGAAGATCCCCGTACTCCCCCGCAGGGCAAAGTCAAATCTCGTAAAATTTTTCCACTTTTTTTGACAAAATATAGGAAAAATAGGAAAATCAATCGAAATATAGGACACAATATAGGATTTGTCAAAAAAATAGGAATTATAGGAATTATAGGATGAATCGGAGCCCAGATTAAACCTGCTTTAATTCTTGTTGACTTCTTGGACATGGTGGTAAAATTAATTTAGCATGTAGATTTGTTTCAAGTAACTAAAAAAATATATTTTATTTTGAATTATGAAATTTAACACGAGATTAATATTGATTAAATGTATGTCTATCTTAATACTTCATATCTAACATATCAATTAAATAAAGAACAAGTAATAACATCTTTGTTGAAATCTCAGTCTACCGACCTATTTCTTTTTTGACATAGAATATGAGAAGTCTTCTTAGTTTTTTAAAATCTACATTCAAATGGATATCAATCAAAGCAGGAACACTAAATTAACTATGACATGGTAATTTCTTGTAATCTATTTTCAAAAAAATCTTATCTGTCAATATCAAAAGCAACATCGATAATTATCATAAACTTCTCTATCCCATAGTACGGGAAAATCTTTAGATAAAGGATATGCTAGACATAATTAAACATTCTTAGATATTATTTAGAATCTCAAAAGAATTGATATATTCGCACGAAATTCTATAACTAGGTTTTAGGACTTTCAGCTGAAAATATTAGAAAACTAAAAATAAAATTTTCTATATTGTTTTGTTTTTTTTTTCTAAAGACCTTCAGAAGAAGTATTAAGATGAGAATTTTTTTTGTTGTCAATAATAAATTACTTTTTCATCAAGTGATTCCAGTGTACAAGAAGCGCAACAAATTTAATAATTTTCTCTTAGAAAAAAGAAAAGAACAATCTAAAATCTTACTTTGATTTCATTGTCTAAGAAGTTTAATGCATTCTTCAACATCTCCTAATAGCATTGGAATCTGATCTTGTAAATAAATAAAAGTTAATTTTTCCCAACAATCTTTACCATCTAATTTTGGTCGAACTTCTGTATGAAAACAAAAAAAAACAATATTTTCATTAACTTTTGTTCTATAAATAGGTAAATCAACTGTACAAATAACTCCATGATCACCATTAATAGGGGCATACTTTATCATTAAATAATATCATAATTTTCACGAATTAATAAAAGACGTGTACCAACCTAATAAATTAATGGAAAAATTTAAAAAAAAGAAACAAATTTAAACTTACAATATAATTTGTTTATCAAGAAAAATAAATTGATTTCGAGCAACCCATATAGCATTCAAATCAGACAAATAACGCCCTTCAGGTTGACAAGTTGCAATAATTACAATAAATTCATATTTTACATATTAAAAATTGCGAATATATGATAAAAATTTTTCCATGTTGCTGCTGATCTATCGAACAAAGAGAAAAGAATTCAATGATGAACACATACTTGAATATTGTGTGTTCGTCTGCTTCGTGTGCTCACAAACGAACATGACACAGACAAGAATGAAAAACAGGCCTAGACAATAATGTTTTTTTCTTTTCTTCTCTCGTCCGTAAGTTATGCTTCATGTTGTCATTGATGATCAATGATAATACGACATAATGAGTGTGTACGTCAATTAAGCATTATCTATACACATACATTGAGATACTGTGATTGACTTTATCTCAATGTATGCGTGTATGTTGATAATAGCTTAATTTTTATCATCTTTTCATCACTCTCTGACGAGAAAAAAAAAAAGAAAATTATCGACTTTTTAACGTATAAATATGAATGATTTTCCATGTAAAAATCATTCAATTTATTGAATCAAATTCTAATCTTTTTTTTTTATATTTTAGAATGATTTCGACGATACAAAATTATACAATTCAAATCAATACAACACAATAAAAAAATGTAGGTATCAGTTTTTTTTCTTTATTAGATCATACAGAGGGTGGTAAGTCCTCTTGTGATCTTTTATATTCATGTTTTTCTTTTCCTGTTAAAGACGTCATCATTCAACATCAACGGGTGAGTTAATTTTTTTTTCTTTTTCTTTTCTTCGTTGAGATGAGAATAGTTAGGGTGAGTGAGGTACGTTGAGATTAAGGTTTCGCTCTATAAGAAGGACTTCCGGGTAGTCCCTAAAAGCCTGACAGGAACTGTCTTGGTGTCCGTAGCACACGGTCGGGCCCCAGACTCACTGACATATGATATCGGATGGGTGCATGTGGATGATGTGGGTCTTCCCGCGCGTGCATGAACTTTACGCTCGCCACGGCTCCATCAGGATGGTTCCTGGACGCGCGCGCGTGTGAATAGAATACCTATGAATTCATTTTTTCATTCAATCACGATTTATTTGGAAGAGAAACAGGACAAAAAAAATAAAATTCATCATCGTATTGAGTTCATGCGATATTAAATTTTTGAACTCGATTATTATAGTATTCGGCGACATAGAGATTACCATGTCGATCGAATGATAAACCTATGGGACAATTGAGTTGATTCGACTGTGCTCCTTGACCGTTTCCACCAACAATGACACTTCCTTGTGTGGCTCCTTTTGGCCAACGCATGATTCGATGATTCCAAAAATCAGCCACATAGACAGTACCCAATTGATCGACAACGACTCCTTGAGGACGATTCAATTGTGTAAGACTATTTCCTTCTCCTTGATCACCGGCTACGACAATGCCTTGTTTTGTACCTTCTTCCCATTTCATGACACGATGATTTTCCCAATCAGACACATAGACTGAATGATCTCGATCGATAAATACGTAGTGGGGTTCGGAGAATTGATCGAGACGATTTCCTTTTCCATTACCACCTGCAACTACTGTTCCTTGAGTATCACCAATTTTATATCGTCTCACTTCATGTTCTTCATAGTCAACGACATAGAGAAAACCATTCTCGTCCATTGTCAAACCCCAGCAAGCGATATTTGAAATAATTGTTTCTCCACGAGTACCATTTCGACGAGGCCATCTAACTACTCTTTTATTCCCCCAATCGCTGATGATGAGACTATCGCTCTCTTTGTCGATAATCACATCCATTGGAAAGTTTAACTGACGAGCTCCATTTCCTTGTCCATTTCCACCAGCAACTACTTTTCCATTCGTTGCACCAGATTTCCATTCCACAATACGATTATTCAAGCAATCAGCGACATAAATCGTTTGATCATCGTCGACGTACAAACCATATGGCCAATTGAGTTGATTGGTTTCACTGCCATTTCCATTTCCTCCAGCTACAGTGATCCCATTCTGTGCCCATTTTGCACTCGGGTGAATATCAATGGAACTTGCACGTAGTGGTACTGAAATGAAACAAAAGTATGGAGTAGAAATAAACATCGATTTCATTGAAATGAGTCATTCTCATTTGTTTTAAACAATATTGAACTGCTCTAAATTACAAAAGCGTTTTACTTATGAACTTGATTAGAATCTGGTTTTTCTCAATGTTGAAAACAAAACATTGTTGATTTTTCTGAAATATTTTGTGTAAGAATCCTTAGTTTGACTAAAACTAACTAAAATTTAACTGGTAATGTGAAAAATTGTGATTAACTCGAATTTTATCGTAAATGAAATTTTCTTTTATATCGAATTTTTCCAACGTATTCACTGATTTCGTTAGTACGAGTTTTGAAATATATTTAGATTTTGCATGTGATCAATTTAAAAATCATTTCATTTTTTATTGTTTGGATTTTACAATAAAATGAGTTATAATAGAATTTGAAGGTAAGGGAAAAACAATTTTGTTATCAGTTGATAGGAAACGGTGTATGATTTATGTTCATCACACATTTCTGAGTGAAATGAAACAAAATAAATTTGCAACTTTTATATGAATTCGTTAAAAACATCTTGCTAGATAATAACGATAGTTAATTATACTTAACTGCCATCCATAAGACGTTTTTGACTGATTCATATAAAAAAATTACAAATTTTTTATGTAAGTATTTTTCTTTCTTATTCCATTTACGAATGTGTGACAAATATAAATCATACATCATTCGAAAGTATTTTATGCGATTAATTTTGCATCATATTTATTATTGAGTAATTTATTCCTGAATCTCAAACAAACAAGTAGTTTGTAGAAAGGCTAATCGAAGTGTTAAATAAGATAAGTTTAGATAAAATAATGCATAAGTTCAAATTTTAGTAGATAAGAAGAACTCAAAAACAAATCTTTCCTAAGTTCAAGAATATTTGAAGAATCTGTCATGTTCATTATTCTGCATTGTAGCACAACCAATAATCATACGAATCAATCAAATCTTTTATTTTGAATTCATTTCTAATGTATTACAAATTTTCAACTTAATAGGGTATGAAACACGTTTTTTTAAACAATAGCAGTTTCGATCACGGATCGATTTCGAACTTTCTAAATTTAAGTATTTTCGCTTCTTTATAAGACAATACGAATCTCCTATGAAAATCTTGATCTAAAATGTTTGCAAACTTATGTTTTGTAGGTTATTCAATAGGTGTAAATTTTTGGGGATTCTCACAAAAAAGCAACGATCGTAAAAGATTTCATCATGATTTTAGGTATTCTCAATAGCAATACGTGTGAAGATTTCTTCTTCAAATTGTTATTGTATCGCATTCTGAACTGGTTAAATCTTAGAAGAAAGTTTTTTGTTTGTCTAGAATTTTCTAAAGATTTATATTGATACTGATTTGAGCTTTAAATTAGAAACAATACTTCTATGATTATATTTGAATGGACAGTTACAGAATCGATGAAGTTAATAAAAAATGTCATGCAGTTTTATAAACTCCCTAATAATAATTTAAATAATTTCATTCTTTTTAATTTATCTATGAAGAATCTAGCTATAATTGAAATCTTGATTAAATTTAATACTATTTAATCAATTTTCATTTTTATTACATGTAATGTCATGTATTTTTAATATGTTTAATGTCTCAGTGCAATTGAAAGAAAATACATTTTAGTATTACTTCTTTTCTTCCATCAACAAAAAACAAATACATGTAAAACGGTATGAGCCCAGGTCGTTCATGCCCGGCCGTAAACGGCCGTACACCAATCATTTACGACGAAAAACGACAGCAGTTTACAGTGACCATTTACGACAGTCATATACGACGTTTTACGGCGGATTACGTTAATCGTAAACAATGACCGTAAACGTTCGTCCTTTACAACAACCGTAAAAATACGGCGACAGTAAACGACGCTCGGATAATATCGTAAGATATCGCAAACAGCAGTTGTATACAGTGACCGTTTACGGCAATCATATACGATGCTTTACAGCGTATTACGCTCATCGTAAAGAATGACCGTAAACGTTAGCCGTTTACGATTACTGTAATAATGCGGCGACTGTAAACGACACTCGGATTATACCATAAGATGTTGTGAGCGCCAGCTGTAAACCGTGTGATCTAAGATCATCGTTTTTTATTGTAGTGTTCTTGCACAGTTGTTAACGACGACGAACTACTTTTCTTAGACATAGCGGCAAAATCAGAACTTCGCTACTAGAAGAACCGAAATTTGAAGCACTTTTTTTTCAAATCTATCAAAAATAGTACAAATTTTCATAAAAGAATCTGAGATCGACACCGTCCCTTGCTTTGTAAAATTCTCTTCAGATATACATTCTTTAGATTTTTATCAATAAATCAACAAATTTTCAATTGTTAATTTCGGATTTCGTTTAAAAAATTTTCTGTCCACATGAAGAGTATTTTACGATTTTGTATTAAGTGTGGAAAATGATTACTCTAGAAACAGTATGCTGAATATTGTTGTATTGGGTCTCTCAATTGAGGCAGATTTGTGTAAGATTGCAACTGAAATGTTTAATTAGCAGTATCTCTTGTATCTCTTGAATAACTGGTAAAAAAGACTGCGAAAGTGGATTTTACTTTGCTCAGTGCGCATCAGCTAGACATAATGTTTCTCAAGATCTAATTTGACAGATTCTCCTATCTGAAATTGAATTTGCAGGGTGAACTGCACGTACATGAACTGAACTATAATACCAAATATCCAAGAAATCCATGTTGTTCTATGTGACACCCATGTAAAAAAATTTTGATGAAAAGTCAGATTAAAACCCATTTTTCG